CTGGGCAAGCAGGTACAAGCCTCGTCCTTCCATGGTAAAGACCTTCCCCAGCCCCCAGGGACATCAGCAGGAGTTTCAGGGCTAATAGTAGGAAATCTGTAAGTGGCACCTGCAGTTCCTGCAGTAACAGGTTTTTGCACAAGATCTCAAAGCACTTTAGAAATACCCAGTTATGCCACAGTCCCGTGAAGGAGGGAAGTAGCTGCATACTGGGAGTGGGGACGCAGGCACAAGGTGCAGTGAGCGGCTTCTCAAACGAAGAGCCTAAGTCACATCAAGGAGACAGAACTGCCCACGGGGGGAGAAAATCTGTCTGCGCCAAAAGATTAACTGGATCCGACACTAACTGTTCCCTGTGCCCTCTCTTTTTCTTCAATAATATAACACCATCCAAATATTGGATTTTAATGGTACCAGTCTAGTGTTCACATGACAGCCTTTCTGCTGCAGAGCTGATTAATCATCCAAGCAGAGCCCAGCTCTGGAGATGTATTAATGCACAACACTTCCTCCTGCCCTACTCCCACCCCACTTCCAGAGCAGAAGCAGACTTTCAATTGCACTTCCCTGCTTTAATACTTAAAATCTTCTACATGGGCAGAAGGACCCGTTGACCCTTCCACTCTCTCTAAGCCCTCTCCAAAGCACAGCACAGCTCACGGTTCCCATCAGGGAGATGGCAGCAAGTGCTCACCTAAGCCAAACCTTGAGTTTTCAGGTTTTAATGAGCAAGGCAGGGATTCTCATTGGCATCTACCTGGCCAAAATATGCACCCTCCTCAATCGTGCTGCTCCACTCAACCTACTACCTGCATGAGCCTTGCTGTGTGACTTGCCTTTTGGCCCCACAGCTTCAGCAATCCCAAAACATGCCTCACTTCCCATCAGTGTGCTCCGAAGGCACCGGGAAGGCCACGATCAATCATCTGTATTTTGGCTTGCTCCTACTCACCTCCCCATAGACCATGCCAAGCTCTAGCCTGGAAGAAGAGGGACATTCACCAACAAACCCTTGTAAAAAGATCACGGCTCAAAAGCCGCTGATGTAGCTCTCTAATACCCATAGTGAGGAAAGGAATATTTCATTTATTCCAGCCTGACTCATCCTCTCAACATATTTTCCTTTTTCCAGGCAGCAAAACTCATGGTCTCTCTGCAGGTCTTACCACTCATCCACACTAGCGGAAGACACACTCAGCTTGAACCATGGAGCCGAGTTCTCATCCAAGCAGATATCTAAATGTTTCTTCTCCCAAGCACAGTTGAGGAAAGATTTTAAAAAAAAAAAAACAAAAACAAAACCAAGAAAACACAAACAAACAAACAACAACCCACCAACTGCATGGGTTTGTGCCAATTGTTGGCATGAGCTGCACAGTGAGTGGTGCTGGGCATGAGACCTAGAAACTTCGTGCAACCCATGTTTTCTAGGATTATCTGTCTGGGAGCAGAGGGTAACTGGGAGAGAGCCATTTTAAAACAGGACAGTACAGAGAGGCTTCTGCAGCATGCTACAGTTGGACTAATGTGATTTAAGACAACTTCATTTTAAGTAATTTAATTCACAGAACAGGATTTATTAAGTTTCTACTGGGCTGTCATGTTTTATCTCTCAATGCTTCCCCTTCTCCATCCACCTCTTGCTATAGAAAACACACCCAAGTGGCTCAGCCAGCCTTAAAATGCAGTTAAACAGCCAGATGGGGGGACGTGAGAGCCAGAAGTGATGCAGGAGAGCAGAATCTGGAAGGGGTCCACCTCAGTTGATCAGGGAGTTCAAGAGAATTAAGGTGGATAGTGGCAGCTGGGAAGAGGAATGAAGCCAAGCAAGGTTTGGATGTTACCTGTAGAGCAGCTTCCGAGTAACTGCTTTTTGGCACGCCAGTGCGAACTGGTGGGACTCACCTGATTTCAGTGACTGCAGGACCAGGTCCCACGTGGAACGCCTCCTCCCTGCCCTGCCAAACTACACCAACAGGCCAAATCCCGCTCATGAAAAAGGAGAAACAGGCCTTGTGCTACTGCTGGAGCACACCCAGCAGGAGCGCTTCATGCTGCCGGAGTAACAACTCCCCGCTTTTCCAGGGAGAAGAGCTACTAGGTGGACCGCACCACCTTAAGAGAGTTCAGACCTAAGTGAGCAGAACTACCCAGGCATCTCAGCACACTTACAGAAAAAAAAAAAAAGCATAAAATTACAGATTGCTTCTAAATAGAGACATATTTTAGAAGCAACAACTATGCTGCGTCTCTCACTACTACCTCTAGCAGTAGATTACAACCCTAACAAGGACATCTGGTCTGGAAAAACCACCTGGGTAACACGCCTGGGTAAAGCATTAAGCAGCTGCCACACTGGTTTACAACAGGAATTGCGAAATGGGTGTTTCTTAAAAGATTTTCACATCTTACTTTCATTTCACAAAGTCAGTCAAGAGAAATCAAGTGACTACTGTCACCAACAAGTAGCTGAGAATAAAATCCAAGTGATTTTGCTGCTGTTTAATTCTCCCTCTCCCCATCCAAAGCTGCTAAATCACCATGGAGTTTGCCCACTCACACAAATGCACAAACACCGTAAGTTTTGAGCTGATTTCTCTTTACTTCACAGTCTTGGCAAAACAAATCTGCATTCAAAAGTCATTTCACATTAATATATTAATCAAACATTTTCAAAATAAATATTTCTTTTTAAAATAACAATTTCTTTACCTCACTGCAGTAGCAATTCTAGAAAAGTCAGTGCACAGACAGTAGCAATTTGATCAATTAGCTAGACTCAAAAAGAAAACAAGAGGTGGACCTTTTTTCTCTTCATGCATGCAGCAAGTCTCAGCGGTCTCCCAACACACCGTCTTTCTTCACACTTGCTGGGAAGGATTTTGTGTCTCACAGACGCCATCAGAAGTCAGTGAAGTCTGATTTGTGCGAAGCTTTGTACAACACAAAGTTTTACAGCCGGGTTACTGATCAGTCCTGCAGAGGTTCTGCTATACTCGAGCCGGTGCTCATGAGATCAGTGAAGGAATACTATGGAAGGAAAATGCTTGAACCCTCAGTCCAAGGAGCCCACGTTCAAGTTACTGGGAAGTAAATTCCCAGCTGATCCAGGAACACTAACAACATCAAACAACATTCAAATGAGCAGCTCAGTTAAACATAACAGCTTATTCCAACATTTTGCATATTCTCTCAAGTGCTTCCAGGGCAGAACTAAACTATTTTCTCCCCATTAGCTATTAATTCACCAGTTAAATCACAGCAGTAAGACGCTTCACTGGCCAAAAAGGTGTAACTTGTGTTATAGCAGAGAAAAAAAAAAAAGTGCATTATAGACTATAAAGACAATATTCAGGACTCAGTGATCTCAAGCTCACATATCTAACTGGAAAAAAAGAGACAACAGAAAGTTAGTGTTCCCATACGGTCTATAACTAGTTAGATGCTACTAATCAACCCTGTAGAGAGTAGTACGTTTTCTGAAGAAGGGAAGCTTGTCAGCAGCATCACACACAGTGCACAGCAGGGAAATTCGGAGGGCTACCAGATTATTTGCTATGATTGTCAGGAATGACTTAGCTAAAAAACTCAAGAAAGTTAATAGATATCTGAAAAATGTAATAGATACCTATTTCCTTAGAGATCTCAAAGGTTCCCTTTGAAGCCCTTTCTCAGTAGCAGAGGGAAAAGTTGGATGTGATACTCTGAGCTGAGAGGAATACCCAGAGATGCTCTTGGCTGCACACTAAGGTAAGATCAAGACACTCCCCACTCCCCCAATAGCCTTGTTTCCATGGTACGAGCATGTTAATTATCAGTTTGGAGCAGTTACTTCAGTTATACCTCTTTAGCGTAAGCATCAAAAGAAACAGACGTAAGGAAAACAATCACAGATGAAAGGAACTTCTAGTGCTAGCGATGCAGTGCACAGGGAGAAGGGAATACTGCGGTAGGACAGCAAACCCTCAGAGCTCTGCGAGGTAACCCAGGCTGCTGGACTCTCTCCCCTTGCTCTGCACATATCTACCACTAGAGTTCATGAAAGCTGCGTGCCTTGGGGGAAGGCTCCACTCTTCAGCGCTATGGACCACGCCCCAGGATTCTGCCAAAATGGGAAGTACGAAAGCAATGAGTTGCGGAGTTCTCGGTTAGTTTATTGGTTTTTCTTGTCCTCTGGTGGGAAGTAAGGAGGAGGGGGTGGCTGGTCCTGAAATAAAGACAATAAATATCAATTCAAGGTTAAGGAAAAAAAAAAACCACAATAAAAAACCAGAATCAATTCAGACAAACTTTGTTGTGTTACTGAGAAAAAAAATCTGCTAAATACACACTTGGGCTCACATTGCAACACGGGAACGATACAGGAACTTACCGTGGGCATATAGACGTTATGTGGGTTGACTGGGCTGTAGTAAGCACTGGCAGCGGCTTCGGCAGCCTTCGCTTCAGCTGTCACAGAGGGAGAAGTTACAGATTGGGTGGCACACAGAGAACTTTTACAATCAAACAAAAACTCTGCATATTCTTGGCCATCAAGTGTTACTAACAGAGCACTATTCAAGCAATGCCTGAGTTGCGAAACAGCTACAACACAACAATTGAACATTATCTCTTCCAATTACTAAAGATTCGGTTGCCACAGTTTTCTCAAGTCACAAGTGAAACAGTCCCAAGACTCAGTTTGGAAATGTCACCTGGGACTTGCCTGTTAGCCAACAAGTAAGTGCTAACAGCTGTTTCGCCTAAATACAGACAATACTCCTTAAAAAGGCAGTCAACAAATCATTCTTCTTGGGAACGAGAACACAAGACAAAACAAAAATCAGCACAAGTTTACAGCAGCTCAGGGAATTCATAGTTTAAAGATGGTAATTTATGAAGATAATCCAGATTCTCTATTTCTGCAGAATACGAAAATCTTGTACAACCATCTGGATCAGCGTCGCTTTCCAAATAATAGTTCAAAGATGATTAGTTGTTTATTCAAACAAAAGAGAGAAGTTAGGGATGTTTGGGTAAGAATTTATCTGTGAGCGATCTACGGTTGTGTCCAACCACAAAAGCTCATTTTTTGGTTTTTGTTTGTTGGTTGTATTTTTTTGATTTGTTGTTTGTTTTTCACCCTCCTCCCCACGCAGACCTTTAAAGACTATGTTCAAAATAATTTTGATAAATCCCATATGAGTGAAAACGAGACTGATGTTTCCCCAGCTCCTTTCCATTATCTATTCCTCTGTTCCATATTCTTTAAGCAAAGGGTACTAGATCGGAGTGAAATGAGGCAAGTGGGAGCAAATATCAGCAAAGCCACATTTGCTAACTGAAATGGACAAGAAACATATTTCACCATCAATTTCTTTCTATTCATCTAACAGAGCCAGATTACCACAATAGGAGAATCACAGACTGTATTTTTTCTGCCACAAGAAGAATAAATGCAGCTGCAAAACATCGACTAATGGTTTCCACCCTGGAGAGAATCAGGCTGGCCTCCAGACGGAGCTGGATATACAAGGCTGGAGATCAGGGGAGTTCCCTAAGCTCTCTCCTAAACAATTTTAACTTCTAAGCAGAGCTTCTAAGTCGACTTCAAGTTCCCCAAGAGATAACAGAGAAGAAATGATGCCTGTTTCATGCGTAACAAAACCGTTGTGAGCTAATCCACCTGAACACGCTTCTTACCTGCGGGAGTGGCCGGCAGATCTGGTCCGCTGACGGGGGGTTCCATGGGCCCTGGGTATGGTGGGGGTGGCAGCTGCATGTAACCTGTGTTGCCATCCACCACAGGGGGGCCAGGATAAAACTCTGTCAGGAAAGGAATTAACACAAGACTTCACTCCTTTGGGCGGGTCACAGCATACAGCCAAAACAAGCCAAAGGCAAATATAATTAAGCTCAGAAAGAAAAATTGCACAAGCCACCAGATCCAATGTAAAAGATGATGTACAATTTGTGTTTCTTCCCCATTTTACCTCTTGCTAACTAGAATAATCCCCATCCTCAATTCCCACACTTACCAGGAGGAGGTGGTGGGTATGGATAGCCCCCATTAGCTGCAGCTGGTGCGAAAGCATAGGATCCATTTGGCATATAGGAATAGCCATAAGCTCCGTTGGGTATTTCACCTCTGGAGACTGGAAAAGTAAACATAAAGTTGACCTCATCCAAACACAAAGCCTGCATCAAATGCAGGTGGAAGCCCTCCACTAAAGTTAAAGAATCCTTATCTGAAAACCAAACAAGCTTCATCCCAATAAATCTGCTGTTCACTGGATGTGAAAAAAAGTATTTTTTAAAGCAAGCAAGTTCCAGATACAGCCTGAAACTCTCATGCATTTGAATCCGACCCGTTGCAACCTAAAACAGTCCTTGCTGCGAGACAAAGGCAAGGCCTCCTGAAAGCACAAAACTGCCTGGCAGACACCACCAGACTCCCATACCTTGAGATGCTACCTGCAGCATGCGCTGCCCAAACTCGATGGCTCCCCCAGCTGAAAAGGTCATCTTGAACGTGGCAGATCCCTCCCAGCCACCTGCAGGGAAGAAAGGCAGAATTCAGAAAGAAGGAGAGGATGTTTTGATGCTATTTAGCTTCCATGCTTTACCTACAGATGCCCTGTATACAATTATTTAAAGAGCTTATCCCAAATATCCAAGGAAAAAAAAAATGCAGATAACATGGCAGAATTTCCCTATTATCAGAAAAATTCACATTGGGCAGTACTTTCAGGTCTAGTGACACCTGAAGAAGAAACATCAGTGAGGGAGACATTCAAAGGCTTACTAAAGTTGTGCCTGTTTCCACACCAGCTGCTGACAGATCAAGCTATCAGGAGCGCTGGATTTGCTCTAGCTTTGTGTCAGATCAGTGCAGAAGACAGGGATTTTGTTAATCGCGTTTGCTAAAAAGCCTTTGCAACTACACCTCACTGTCAGCTATAAATTAGTTTGGGAGTTTGAGTGCCCAATGAAGCAAAGAGCTGAATGACAAACATGGTGCTCATAAACCCATTAGAGTCCATGGAAGATATTTCAAGTCAGGATAATAATAAAAAAAAAAATTAGTGACATTTCACATTACGGACTAAAAAAGCAAAACGTGCACAGCCTAGAGTCCCAACGATGCATCAAAGCAGAAGCTGTGTCAGAGCTGAAACAGGGACACGAAGATTAAAGAGTCTTTCGAGCTAAACCAGACTCACATGGCTGTTAAAACAACATCCTCATTAAAGGAGCCAGCCTCTGGGGAAAGCTCGCAAAGATTTCGCTGAAGCCGTTTGCCTTTCACACAGTTTAGAGTTTGTCATTACTGCTCCAGCTTCCTCTCACGCTGGAGAGTCCCAGTTTGCTCTCACACAGAGCTGATTTCAAGATGGCAGACTGAAGTCTCCTAAGCACCGTGCTGTCATTTCAGTGCCACAACTAATACACTAAATCAGGCTGGGGATGAAAGAGTTTACTGAACTATGTGCCTCTGGTAAAAGGGAAGCATAAAACAGTGATTAAAAAAAATTATTCTTCAAAACATCTACCACGACCTTCTTGTTGAACACAACATGGAACCGCCAGTCCTGGTTTTGGCCGGGACAGAGTTAGTTTTTAGCAGCTGGAAGAGCTCTGTGTTTTGGTTTTACTCTGAGATTCGTTATGAGAAGAATGTTGATACTGCACTGATGTTTACAGTTGATACTGAGACGTCAAGGACTTTGCAGATTCCCATGATTTTGCCAGTGTGCAGGAGCACAACAGGCTGGGGGGAGCATGGCCGGGACAAAAGGGCCACAGCTCCCCTTAGGATTTGAACTTAGATTTAGGATTGAGACTTACCTGTTTCGGGACCATTTGCTGGGATGGGACAGGCGTTGATCACCGGGTGGTGAG